ATGATTGGAAGCCCTGATGAAAACACATTTGATTCTTACATGATAGTGCCAGTAGCTGTTTAATTTTAAACCTGAATCACAGTAAGGGCTTGACCTGCTGACTTTGCTACAGCAGCTCAAAATATTTACCTTACATGGGCAAAGAAACCTACAGTGCAATAAAAAAAAAAAAAAAAAAAAAGAGGAAGACTAATACACAGTACAGCAGTGACAGAACCACAAGGGTGACTGCAGGAGTGAGTCTCTTTTTCACTTTCCTCTCATGTTAGACTGTTTGTTTAAAAAACCCTCGATATTCTCTTAGAAAATCTCAAGGAATCTAACTGGAGCTCAGGATTACACCTGGCTACGTGTGCTAACTTTTATTATGAATACAAATGAATATAGTCCAAAACCTTTTTTCTTTTCTTTCTTTGTTTTGGGAGGAGAGGGGGCGGGGAGGAGGAAATAATTGTAATCATGGTATGTTCAGTGATTTTAAAATCAGTCATCAAATATCCTTTAGAAAATGTTCACTTTCCACAATGCCCTTTCTCTAGATCACATAGTCATCATTCAGACATTAATGTGATTTACAAGCTGACTGCCTCTCTAACAAGAAAACTTTCCAAATGTGAGAAGAAACAGTATTACCTCAAGCCTGCAAGCAGTTTGGGACAAGTGAGAGGTGTAAATTATCCCTGTTCATCCCAAGCAGGTTTTGATTGACTTTTATTACTGAAAGGTACGTACATCAGCAATGCAGATCACAGAAAAATAGTTACTTGCACTAAAGAAATGAGCATTTTAGTTTTCTGCATGCATAATTTGTCCCTCTTATTTTAGGTCTTTGTCACACATTGCATCCCACATTTGGGCATGAGCAAGTTGAGTGGGGTGCTTTCTCCCTTCTCTGCCCTCACAACTTTGTCTTGTTCAATAGTAGGTTAGAAACAGGTCTCATGCTGCCTGTAACTATCCATCCATGTTCCATCCACTACTATATCTGTGCGAAGCAAAAAAATTATTTTGCTAGGAACTACTCAAGCTTGCACTACTTGAACAAAGCCTTGCATGCACTGCACGTGCAACAGCTGTCCTTGATATCTAACAAGCACTGGTTGCAATGGCAGACTCAGAGTAAGCTTTTATCTCAAATACAGCTAAACTGATGCAATCTGTAAGGATTTCAACCTCCGTCCCCCGACAGGAAACCACAAAGCATTGTGGTTGCATCCATTCTGCTGGACTTCCTAAATTTTTTCTTGAATTTAGAAATTACCCAAAAGCACCAAAATTATTTAAAAGTCCCTGTTCCCAGCAACCTTGATAGGCATTATGCGATAGCGGCTTCAGGTGTCCCAGAAAGTTCTTGCACAACAAGTTACAAACCATGGGGACGCATCAAAACTGGCAAAGTAAGGGCATTGGTGTGTTCAAACTAGACTACTGTGCAGATAAGCAATGTAAAAATCAACATCCCTTAGTGCCATGGTTCCCCCTTTAAAAAAAAAAAAAAAAAAGATTGTGTCTCCCTTGCAGATATTTTAAAGCTTCCTGGCTTCTCACAACCAAATACCTCTTTTTAAAGCAAAAAACTGACTCATGACAGATTCAAGAGGGACACAAGAGTTTGGACGATTCTGTGATTTTATTCAAATACACAGTTTATTTAATTATGTAATGTGACCTAATCTAGGTTTTAAAAACTATTAGAAAAATGGATTTTTATTAATGCAAATGTACAGTAACATGTTAACATCTTACATTGTAAATTATTTATTCAAGATCAGGTTAATATTCAAAGAACCTGGCTAAAGATTCTGACTTACTGGATTTTTTGACATGTTTGGACACAGCCAAAGATTTGAGCGAGAAGAACAGGCTTGTTTCTAACTGCATAGCTGCACAATGTTTGGTGGAATCTCTGAGAGTGCCAGACAGAAGTTGTTTTTCAACATGATATTTAGTTTTAGTTTTCACAGAAATCAGGGCTGAAAACTAAGGCTCAAAGAGACAACTGGAAGTGAATGGAAGAGCACTTTCATAGTTTCACCACTGAATTCTCCGTACTCTCCTTTAACGGTAATCCAGAATTCCTAGTTTGTTAGATTTGAAAATTTGGTCTTGTGTGTAATCACTTAACAGTTTTAAGAGATTTTCTTGTGCCAAGATACTTAAGGTTGGAACAGCATCAATGGTTACCGAGAACAGGTTTTGATCTAGGTGGTACCTGGAGATTCATGTTCAACTCCAGGAAAATATTAATCAAAATGAGACAACAACTCAGGCAAATGACTTAATATTTGTTCTTTAATAGCGTTTTGAACACTTTCACTCTGTTCTTTGAAAAAAGTCAGGTAACCCTGGAAACATCTTGTTAATCCCTTTTCAACGTGGTGTCTCCAAAGACAAAGCTTCTTCATGAATCCCTCAATTTTCTCTTTCATATCTATTATATCTGTATTCCTACCTTGAAGTTCACTGCATTAAATTTGCCAAATATGTCCACTAGGTAAGCTAACCTAGAGAAGAAGTCCACATTACACATGTAATCTGTAAGGTTTGTTTTCCCAAGGAGGAACATTGTCATCCAATTCAAAGACATGTAACACTTTCCCGTGTGACAGCCACCTGACTTCACTGTCAAACATAAGCGGAGTGTGGTCAGATACCATATCTCTTCGCCCTGTATACTAAAACAATGCATGTTCACTGCCCGGGATTTTATAAAATTAACAAATTTAAGAACAATATTGAAGGCCTTCTATACTTCAAGTTGCAATTTCTTTGATGCCAAAGCCTGGCAATGAATTTTGCAGTGAGCCCTAATTGCTGCTGATGTCACTTTCTTTCATTGTGCTGCAACCCCACTGTTCTTTCTGGGCAAGGCTGCTGCCCCAGCAGTGCACAGCCCCACATCAAAACCCCAGTTAAGACCTTCCTCCACTATGAATTGAGGATTATGACCATTTCCTCAACCGTTGTTTGGGCTGGGATTTTTTTTTCAAAGTAAATATTCACCTATTGTACCTGCTTTGACAAATCTCTCAAAATACAGAAGCTGAGTCATAGAATCATAGAATATCAGGGTTGGAAGGGACCTCAGGAGGTCATCTAGTCCAACCCCCTGCTCAAAGCAGGACCAACCCCCAACTAAATCATCCCAGCCAAGGCTTTGTCAAGCCTGACCTTAAAAACTTCTAAGGAAGGAGATTCCACCGCCTCCCTAGGTAACGCATTCCAGTGTTTCAGCACCCCCCTAGTGAAAAAGTTTTTCCTAATATCCAACCTAAACCTCCCCCACTGCAACTTGAGATCATTACTCCTCGTTCTGTCATCTGCTACCACTGAGAACAGTCTAGATCCATCCTCTTTGTAACCCCCTTTCAGGTAGCTGAAAGCAGCTATCAAATCCCCCCTCATTCTTCTCTTCCGCAGACTAAACAATCCCAGTTCCCTCAGCCTCTCCTCGTAAGTCATGTGTTCCAGTTCCCTAATCATTTTTGTTGCCCTCTGCTGGAGTCTTTCCAATTTCTCCACATCCTTCTTGTAGTGAATCATGTTGGCTATGTCTGTGGATTGCTCAAGCTGCAATACTAAACACTGACTTTTCTTAACTTGTTCTGTCAGCTGGTGCTAGACGTTTTCTGCACGGTCGTCAATGCATCAGCGGAAGGCATTATTCGGCAGGAGTATTGTCAGTGCTAGGACTGCTTGTTCCCCGATTATAGTTCTAGATGTCTATTGCTGCTGGAAGTAGCAGCGTCTCACCAATGGCGTGTGCTTGTTCGCATTTTGCAATTAGCATGGCCACAACATAAGCTGCTTCTAAGGCTTTTTGAGAAACAGTTGCTTCTTTAGACATGCCTGGTTAATTTGCTGCTTTAAGTTTGTCTTGTTTCTGATTGAAAAAATGCAGCTCTTGTTTACAAATCCCAGGAGTTTGGTTTCCAAATGTCACAGTCATTTCCCTGGCCTCATTTACTAACATTTCCAAACAAGTGAAATTATGGCTGTGGACTTTCCACAGTAATAACAAGACACAAAAACCCAAACATAATGTAACAGCCATCATATTGTCTACTGTTCTTCCTTTTCTGTTTATCTTTATGAAAATCATCATTTCTTCAGATGCATGTTGGCTACATGTAGGTTTAGCACTTGGTAAAACTCGTTTCATTAGAAAAATAAGACACCTGTGTCTCCCTCAGCCTTCATCCCCTATCTGCAAGTGCGACTGCTGCTGGCACTGGGAGCCTCTCTTTGCCGTCTGCTCTAAGAGGGGGTGTTCAGCAGAGACTTCCTGCTGAGGTAAACATTCAGCAGGTTTCAGAGTAGCAGCCATGTTAGTCTGTATTCGCAAAAAGAAAAGGAGGACTTGTGGCACCTTAGAGACTAACCAATTTATCTGAGCATAAGCTTTCAGCTGTAGCTCATGAAAGCGTATGCTCAAATAAACTGGTTAGGCTCTAAGGTGCCACAAGTCCTCCTTTTCTTTTATTCAGCAGGAAGTCTCTCTGCTGAGGGCCCTGTGCAGAAGTAGATGGCACAGAGAGGCTTCCAATCCTGGGCGCAGCAGCAGCAGGACAAGATGTCAATGATTTCTAAGCCTAGTTTAATAGTTTCTTAATTCGGAAAAAAAAGTGAATATCAATTAAGTTTTGTCCCCAGACACTCAGAGTTCCCCTCTGAGCCCCTTGTGAGAGCCCAAGGGAGCCATGGCTCTCAATTCGGGACGCAGTGCCTCAGTAAACACAGATCTTTTGAGCCGTCATTCATATGGCAGATAAATGCTCTTAATTATGGAATTAGGAATTATGCCAAACTACTGTGACACCACTTAGGTTTAGCAGTAGAGAACAGTTTTACATCAAATTGTGGCATTTCCCAAGTAAGGATATCACCTTTCAGATGAATTCATGAGCTATTTTTCTTACCTACTCTTTAATCTCTCAGGTTTCAGAGTAGCAGAAGTGTTAGTCTGTATTCGCAAAAAGAAAAGGAGGACTTGTGGCACCTTAGAAACTAACAAATTTATTTGAGCATAAGCTTTCGTAGCTACAACTCACTTCATCAGATGCATTCAGTGGAAAATACAGTGGGGAGATTTATATACACAGAAAACAAGAAACCATGGGTGTTACCATACACACTGTAACAAGAGTGATCACTCAAGGTGAGCTATTACCAGCAGGAGAGCGGGGGGGGGGCACCTTTTGTAGTGATAATCAAGATGGGCCATTTCCAGCAGTTGACAAAAACGTCTGAGGAACAGTGGGAGTGAAGGAGGGGGAATAAACATGGGGAAATAGTTTTATTTTGTGTAATGACCCATCCACTCCCAGTCTCTATTCAAGCCTAAGTTAATGGTATCCAGTTTGCAAATTAATTCCAATTCAGCAGTTTCTCGTTGGAGTCTGTTTTTAAAGTTTTTTTGTTGAAGAATTACAACTTTTAGGTCTGTAATCGAGTGACCAAAGAGATTGAAGTGTTCTCCAACTGGTTTTTTAATGTTAATTCTTGATGTCTGATTTGTGTCCATTTATTCTTTTACGAAAAGCCAGTTTGACTAAAGTACATGGCAAAGGGGCATTGCTGGCACATGAGGGCATATATCACATTGGTAGATGTGCAGGTGAATGAGCCTCTGATAGTGTGGCTTATGTGATTAGGCCCTGTGATGGAGTCCCCTGAATAGATATGTGGACACAGTTGGCAACCGGCTTTGTTGCAAGGATAGGTTCCTGGGTTAGTGGTTCTGTTGTGTGGTGTGTGGTTGCTGGTGAGTATTTGCTTCAGGTTGGGGGGCTGTCTGTAAGCAAGGACTGGCCTGTCTCCCAAGATCTGTGAAAGTGATGGGTCGTCCTTCAGGATAGGTTGTAGATCTTTGATGATGCGTTGGAGAGCTTTTAGTTGGGGGCTGAAGGTGATAGCTCAGGGCGTTCTGTTATTTTCTTTGTTGGGCCTGTCCTGCAGTAGGTGACTTCTGGGTACTCTTCTGGCTCTGTCAATCTGTTTCTTCACTTCAGCAGGTGGGTATTGTAGTTGTAAGAATGCTTGACAGAGATCTTGTAGGTGTTTGTCTCTGTCTGAGGGGTTGGAGCAAATGCGGTTGTATCGTAGAGCTTGGCTGTAGACAATGGATCGTGTGGTGTGGTCTGGATGAAAGCTGGAGGCATGTAGGTAAGAATAGCAGTCAGTAGGTTTCCGGTATAGGGTGGTGTTTATGTGACCATTGCTTATTAGCACCATAGTGTCCAGGAAATGGACCGCTTGTGTGGATTGGTCTAGGCTGAGGTTGATGGTGGGATAGAAATTGTTGAAATCATGGTGGAATTCCTCAAGGGCTTCATTTCCATGGGTCCAGATGATGAAGATGTCATCAATGTAGCACAAGTAGAGTAGGGGCATTAGGGGACGAGAGCTGAGGAAGCGTTGTTCTAAGTCAGCCATAAAAATGTTGGCGTACTGTGGGGCCATGCGGGTATCCATAGCAGTGCCGCTGATTTGAAGGTATACATTGTCCCCAAATGTGAAATAGTTATGGGTGAGGACAAAGCCACAAAGTTCAGCCACCAGGTTTGCCATGACATTAATCAGGGATACCGTTCCTGACAGCTTGTAGTCCATTTTTGTGTGGAATGTTGGTGTAGAGGGCTTCTACATCCATAGTGGCCAGGATGGTGTTTTCAGGATGGTCTTTTGATCTCTCAGTGTCCCACAGCACAAGGCAAAATCCAAGAAAAAGGAGAATCACTCAAAGTCCTGTAGACACAAACGGTGTGTCATCACTTTGTTTTCGCATCATTTCGTCATGATCAATAGCGTTACACTTATGGGCCTATATCCAAGCCTGGAGAGATCAACTGCAACTCCAGTCAAGTCAACTGTCCTTGCTTATACCAAGACTGAATTTGGCCCAACGTAATTAATAGGCAAAGTGTTACATACTAGTTATATTAATAATAAAATCTAATCTTTTAGATTTTGAGCTAATGAAGAGAAGTGTACCCCTCCCCCATTTTTAACTTTAATTAATCCCCAGATTAAGGCAACACTGTCAATTTAAAAATCTCACTTCTGTCTGAAAATTTCCCACCGATCTTGTTGCTTATCACACATAAAGTTACAATAACAAATACTTTTCCCAGTTTGTTTACTTTGTGCTTTTGACCACACTTGGATTCAAATTAATTTCAGTGTTTCATTGTAGTTGGTTTTGCCCAGTTTGTCCAAGTTTTCCAAACAGCAACAGGGAGAATTTAAAAAAAAAAAAAACCACACACACACACACACTCTCTCTCTCTCTCTCTATATATATATATAAACGACCAAACCAATTGGCAGAGACCTCAGGGGCAGATGTACAACTGGGTATTACATTGAACTCTTGTTTTATTTTCCTTTTAAATTGTGAGTTAACAGCATCTCTAAGTTACACAGGAAATACACACAGGTGTTATGTGAACTAGAATGCTTCAAGGAAACTGCAAATGGACATAACAGAAAATGCATTTTTGCTCATTATACAGTGTTTTTTATAGATCCATTTTTCACTCATGTACAAGAACTCCTGTATTACTTAACTTCTCAAAGACTGATTGAGAACTTTGTTGCACCCCAATTTTAGCTACCAAAAATACCAGACTATTAAAAAAAAAAAAAACACGTTTTCACAGAGTTAAAATGAAATAAGGTCTTTAAATTAAAAATATAATACATTTCTAGCCAGAGCTTCTTTGTTATGGAAGATTTCAGCTTAAACATGATCGTATAGCTAATAAAATGGAAAACAAAATGAGAAATCTATATAAAGGTACTCAAAAGGCTGGTCTTCAAAGAATATTCAGACAGATGCCTCAATTTAACATTTTAAGCAAAAAGTGTTGATACAGTGACATATCATTGTGTCATATCACATAACATAATGAAAAAAACAAGCATGAGAGCCCAGACTATGAAAATGATGCCTGTCCCTAGGTTCAATTGTCAAGACACTTGCATGAGAGATCAGAGCCTCCCTCTAGGGAAATGACACACCAAGTCTGAAAATGACATGTTTGCAAGCTCCTCAGACTCTAGAGGGTATAAACTACTAATCCCTGAACGGAACTAACAGCTGACTTAGTCCCATTACGCTCCTTTGTGGGTAACCTGCTCAGAAACACATAGAAAAGGAACTGGTTGGAAAGATCATCCTTTGCGTCAAGTTGATCCTTCCTCAAAACAGAGTCCAATCAAAGTTTCAACTAGAGGGCCCCGTCACTGACGCCACGCTGTTTCAAGCGGTGCTGACATTTTCTCTGATTATGCTCAGAGTTCTGAGGAGACACCAGTAAGGTTTTGGCTCAGGTTGTGGCACAATAGAGCACTTGCATAACCTGCTGTAAGGCTCATTAATTTGTGTCTGGGAGACTTACCACTGACCTGGGAAACCAGTAAAAAGGTTTGTGCCTCTAGTCACTGTTTTGTGCTGCAGAAACAGGTGCAAATGTTAACTGTGCTCCCTATTTTCTATCAAAGGTGCAACTGGGATGTAAGGAACACCCAGTTATTGTTGCACTTGCCAGGAAGGAAGTATGAAGGGATGTCCAAAAAAATCAGTATCTACCCGTGGAATTTTAAACAACTGCACTAGGGCACAAGTGGACACCGAGCCTTTTGCACCTCACTTTGCACTGCATATCCCCATTAACCATCATGTTTGAAGGAGCAAATGGAGGGACCCCAGCTTCCACTGTTGCTTCACCGATGCACTGCACTGGGTTTATTACATGACAGTATGGGGTCATTCACAGCGCAGCTATATCAGGTACGATAAATGGCTATGGAAGAGAGAGAGAGAGAGAGGGGAGGAAGAAAAAAGGTGTCCTCTGCCCCCCAAGGCGCAGGCCTCCTCCAGGATCAGGCTTGCCATAAGGCCTACGGGCTATGAGTGCGGTTCATGGAGTTAACAAATTACTCTTCATGTTGAGATTTAATTTTCAAGCCAGCTACACTTCAGAGGAGGATTTGGATGAGCCAGACACAGAGGAGCTGTGCCCTAACCATGTTGCCACCACTTTGGGGACCCTGGCAACAGGAAGCTTTCAGAGTTCTGGGGGCTACCACATGGATCAGACAAGTCTGCCACCTCCAGCTGCATCAAGCATTTCTCTATGGTATCTTCAGGAAAGGGTTGTAATTCTCTCTGGGAAAGGCTGCAGCACCAAGAGAGTCTTCTGACATTGCAGTTTCTATATCTCCTGTATCAGTGACTGCATACATACATAGTCTCCTTTGGCCAGGGTATGTTCAGCCAGCAAGGTCACCTATAGGAGGAAAAAAGGTTCCAATCCAATTAATATGTATATCCTTGGCAACACTTATCACATCATTAGGGCCCTACCAAGTTCACAGCCATGAAAAACGCGTCACGGAACGTGAAATCTGGTCTTCCCCTGTAAAATCTGGTCTTTTGTGTGCTTTTATCCTATACTATACAGATTTCATGAGAGAGACTAAAGTTTCTCAAGTTGCAGGTCCTGACCCAAAAGGGAGTTGCGGGGGTAGGGAGGGTCTCACAAGGTTATTTTAGGGTGGGTCATGGCATTGCCACCCTTACTTCAGCGCTGACTTCAGAGCTGGCAGCCGGAGAGTGGTGGCCGTTGGCCAGGTGCCCAGCTCTGAAGGCAGCACCCCGCCAGCAGCTGGGCAGCCGGACAACAGACACCGCTCTCCAGCTGCCAGCTCTGAAGTCAGTGCAGAAGTAAGGGTGCCAATACCACACCATGCCATCCTTACTTCTGCACTGCTGCTGGCAATGGCTCTGCCTTCAAAGCTGGGCTCCTGGCCAGCAGCCACCGCTCTCCAGCTGCTCAGCTCTAAAGGCAGAGCCGCTGCCAGCAGCAGCGCAGAAGTAAGTATAGCAGTACCCCATCGCTCCCCCACCCCAGTAACTTTGCGCCCTCCCCCACAACTCCTACTATTACAACAGGGTGAAATTTCAGATTTAAATAGATGAAATCATGAAATTTACAATTTTTAAAATCCTATGACCATGAAATTGACCAAAATGGACTGTGAATTTGGTAGGCCCCTACACATCATCTTAGACAAAATTGCCCAATACCCAGAAGCATGTCTTAAATCCTTCTGTTCTCAGACACTCTGGGCTGTTTGGGAGCATTGACTGGACAGATCGCTGGAGACTGGCTTCTGACCAAGTACCCAGATTAATGTCACTTTTCCAGTAGAACTCTTGCTAAAGTTAGCAATTTAACCAAGGTGGAGACAAAGAAGCCACGTTGGCCTAATTCTCACACTGTTTGCTTGTAGCAGGCAGAACCTAACTTCTGAAAACGTGGCTCATGATCTCTGTGGCAAACTCCCAATAATTCCCAAGAGTTAAATTGTGGTGCTGCCTATCAGGGTAGCAGTTCAAATCACAGATATCTTTCAGCATTCTGAAACTGAGATTCATATGTCTGGATAATCACCTGGCATGTTGCTCTACAAGACAGTAACAATGTGAAACACCATTTTGGGCTTGCTGAACCCTGCATATTGCCTTAGGGTGCAGGATGCCATTGCCAGGGGGGCTAGAAGTGGAAAATCATGAGGTCCTATCCCAGAAATCTTTCCAGATGTCTCCCACACTCTGATCAAACAAGACTTCTGAAGTGAGTTACTATAGAGACTTACCAATAACGCTTACCAATAATGCCCACACATAAACAGAAAAAGAAGACGTGAAAGAGGAAAGGACACAGATGCTTCAGTTAACTGAAAGTTATCTTAACACCATGGACACTTGCTAAATGTAGTGAAGAAGATGTAGGTAAGGCCTGAATTTAGATCCATGTAGACAGAATCAAGAACAAACAGAAGTGCTGACAATGTATATGTCAGCCAAAGCAAAAATTTCTATGAGACTTGTAGTAAAAGCCATCAGAATGGCATATACAGAAACATATGGTTCATAAAGTTTACTTAGGTGTTGGCAAGGAGACTATTCTCACAGTACCCACAGGCAGCTACACAAAATAGAAATGAGGGGAATGATCATACAAAAATAGCTGTTTATATTTCCTTAAGCTTTCCACCCCAGCCTCTCATTCTTTTCTTTTGTATTTGATGCTGAGGTCTCTGAAAAAGCAATTCAGAAATTGGCTACTTCACTCACTCTCAGCGGGTTGTGTTGGCTCCTTAGGGGCATGTAAGCCATCCTCTACAACTGATGCTGCACCAAAATACTATCGTACACTTGACTCATGAGGGTAACTACCATGGAAACACATGACCTTACAATCTGGAGCACATCTGATGGTCTGGGATCAGTCCTTTTTTGTGGCCAAGCAATGATACATTCAGTGGTCTATCACCAAGCTCATGGGTCATTCGATATACCGCATGTGCTGCTTCCTCTCAGGTCTTTTCAACAGCTTGTGCCTGTTGCATTTCAGGAAGCAAGTCAGGTCCCCAATCTGTTTGTCTCAAGGACTATTCATTGTCCCTTTCCAGTTCCACCCTCCCTCCTACATTACTTCCCACAATCAGCCCCTAAACGTTGTCCACCTTCTCTACCTCCAGGATGATTAGCAGTTTTGGTCATTATTTCTTTGTCATCATCCAGATCAGTGGAAACCTCCTTCCTTCCAAGTACTCCAATGTTATTCTCATTCCACAGACTCTTCAGCAGAATCAAACTGCTGAACATGCCTAGATAGGAATTCCTTGGAGATTTTGGCTCTCTCTTGGTTGGGTTCCTGCTGGTTCTTATGATAAGCAACCAGAAGCATGAAGACCAGGACCTTATGACAACTACCTTGCACAGCCTTCCCTAATACTTGGGCTGTCTCATCCTGGCAGTGGGTGATTTAGAGTTCAGGAAGTAATGGGGGGGAAAAAACAAAACCGACAATGTATTGTTTACATTTTATTAATATTAATGAAAAGTGCAAATAATACAAGAGGGTGTTTGGTTTGGTTTTGAAAAGCAACACAGACAAATGTCAGCTGAGCAATATTAAATAAGATATGTATACTTGTGTCAGTAACACATTAATCAATATAGTCAAAGTCTTCTGGAATCCCAAAACTTTTGTCAATTCTGTTCTCTTCAAATCCAAATTTCCGTTTGGCCCAAGATTTTATTGCAAAGATATTATCTGTGAACAGAGTGAAGAAATGTTTCAGTTCACAAGCAGAATGGGGGCACTAGAGTCCTCACTACCGTAAACCCTTCACCACCTCTGGAAACATCTGAAAAAGCACAGAGCTGCAAAGTTTCTGAATATAATTTATTAGGTAGGGCTAAGAGAGGAAAGAGGAATCAAATGCTTGTTCTGTTTTTATGAATAACTGAGCACTGCTACAAATGCTAATGAGGCAAATAGGGTTGGTAAAAATATGTGCATAAAAATAAAAATTATGCTCAAAATGAGTTTTTAGTCACTATTATGTCCTTAACTATAAATTCTGTAGCTATTTTATTTTGTATAGTTAAAATATTACTTAGAAGATCAGAAAAAATTGGGCTTGTACAGTTATTTTTTTGGGGGGGGGCTTCTTCAAGGTTTATGAACAGAAAATTGAAAAGGTGTACGCTTTCAAAAATATTCCTATCTGATTATTTTCAGCCAAGAAATATTAGCAATATCAAATCTGTTCTTCCCTGATTATGCGGAGGACCTGCTGAACATCCTAAAGAATGTGCATTTTCTGTGAACTCTCACAGCTTAATTTGTTAATCATTGAAGCCAAATAGATGTAACAAAACCAAACTGAAGTGTTTCAAACAGTCCGATAAAGAGTCCTTTCTTCTCTCAATTATCCAAATGCCTCTGATGAAGTAATAATTTTACTTGATCTCCATTCATTTTAGGGCTGGTGTAGTCTAGCTTGTAACTGAGCCAGCTGTACTGCACTGGTGTAAAGGTAAAAAGTTCAGTATATCCACACTGAATCATGTTAACAACCTTCGCAAGTTTTGCCATGCACCTGCAATGTGCTGTTCTAAAAAGTTACAACTGCAGTGCCGTGAGGGTAGCTACTTCACAGTTCCCCATACAGCCTCCAGAAGCAGTGCATTCTGGGTGACTTTTCAAAAGGCCACCAGTACACTGTGGGGCACTGGGCAGAGGACTAGTCTAATTAGTGGTCTTTTGAAGTCACTGAATACATTCTCCCACTACTATTGAACAGTTGAATAAGGGCTAGTCTACACGGGCAACATTAAAGCACTGTCGCAGCAGCGCTTTAACGTGGCGGGTGTAGTCGCGGCTCAGCGCTGAGCAAGAGCTCTCCCAGCGCTGTAAAAAAACCACCTCCACGAGGGGCGCGGCTCCCAGCGCTGGGGCACTGTCTACACTGGTGCTTGAGAGTGCTGACACTTGCCGTGCTCAGGGGGGTGTTTTTTCACACCCCTGAGCGAGAAAGTTGCAGCGCTGTAAAGTGCCAGTGTAGACAAGCCCTAAGGTAGCTAACATGAACCTGACCATGATTTGCCCTGCTACATGTTGACTGCAAAGTCCTGCTCTGTTGTATCCTCTAGCTTCACAGAAGACAACTGTGAACATATACGATAAAATACTGCAGCGTAGAATATGCATATATTGTCATAAAGTAGCAAAGGTGACATGTCCAAGGTTTTCGAGTTTTAAGTAAACTCCTGGAGTCAAAACTATGTAATTCTTTAGTACATGTATTTTAACCATCAAAGAATGTGGTGCTAGTTCTCTGTAAGCTAGTTAATTGTAGAATTACTGATAAATCATAAGGTAATTTTAGAATTAGTGATAAATCTGCTCACTGCTCAAGTCAGTATTTTACTTACAACAAAGACAGACATTTCTTCTCTTTTGGGGTTGCATAATATGGATTTAGCTTGAAAAAACTGGGAAAAATAAAAGTGCACTGAGAAATACTTAAGCTTTGGTAAGTGGTTTTATTTTGTATTAGATTGTTTTATCATAATTATTCAGTACCCTTTAATTTTATTATACATTACATCTTCGAGTAATATAAAAGTGATTATTTGATTGTTACGCTAACCTCTGTAATTGCACAATTGTTTAGGTTGGGGGAAATTATCTATCAAGCTACTCTATGACTATGTATCTTTGAAGTAAAGTTTTTACCAACAGATATTTGATTATAAAATTGCTATTGAGCACAGATATGCTACAATATGGAACCAGGTTTACAGATTAGATAGCAAAGTACAATCTCAAACACCTCTTACAAACGGAAGTCTTAGTGACACTCAATACCCACACAGAAATTATCTTTAAAAATAAATACTTTTTCCTGTTTCACAACAGGGCAGTAACAACAACAATTCTGTTCAACGATAGGATATAAACAACAAGAAGAAATAATCATTAAAAGATCTTTTTCTATCCAATATGGAATACAATTTATCGTCTAAGTTTATAGATTTCATCTGTGACACTGAGCAAATGAACAACTTACTCTAAGCAAGAATAATTACTTTATCACTCCACATATATATGCACATCTGCATGCACACCAGCGACAACAAAACCTCTATACAGCACTGTAAATTTTAAACATTCAAAAAATGTAAATTAAGATTAAATTAATAAAATAATCCATTATTTTCTATGCATCTTAAAAAGTATACCAGTGCCAACCCCATCACAAACATTAAGGAACTCCTGTTATTGAAGTCTCCTTATATCAACTGTAGAAATTAGCTCCAGACTGAAATTTGGCAAACCAAGTTTCTACTAGGAGAGGAAGTCTGCTATGCATTTTGAAAAAAATTAGACTGGTAGGTTGTTAATTATATATGTGAAACACACACATCTATGCACCCATAACAGTACATTTCTAGGGGGGTTATTTCCCTGCACTTCCAGAATCAAGTCTCATTTTAGCTGAAAAATTACATATAATTTAAAAGCCCTATAAGTCACTGAGCAGAACTTTGAGTTGAGTTTCGCTACACTCAGGCGCCATAATTAGGAATGTTGTTGAACACTGTAAATGCATACCCACCAGTCCATCTGTTGGCTGCCTCCTTGGCAACTTTGTTTGCTTGACCTGAAAGAAAGAAAAACCATGTACATACAAGGCACAGTCACATAATTTAACAAGTGCAAAACAGTGAGATGATGTTTATATTGACACAGTTCCTATGAACCCACTGACCATAATGAAGATATTCACCTGTGGCTTTCAAATATGTCTTTTTTAAGATTAACCTAGTTTTGGGGCATTGTTGAATAAAAAATCATTAACAAAGGACCATAAAAGATACATTCTTAAAAATACTTTTGACACTTCAGATGGTATTTTAAAAGAAAATAATTCTGGTTTAGCCCGCTTGGTGGCTCAGCAATAGTGCTCTGCACAGCTATGTGGGAGATCTGAATTAGGTCCATGGGCTGGAAGTGCTGCAGGGACAGCTGCCTATTCTCTGAGAGAGAATGCTTGGCATTACTCAGGAGCACTCTCTCTCGTCTGTAAATATTCTTATTTCTGTAGCATCACAGGTGTGCACGACTCTTTAGAGAAAAAGTACATAGCAACGGTAGTGGCCTGTGAGGTAAATCCAGTGTATCATGTGCCTTAGAAGAGGGAACCAGAAAGCTTCTCAGGACTTCAGAGATACCAAAGAACCCTTTGATGAGACACAGAAAGAACAACATTTCTGGATAACAAATGCAAAAATAAAGGTTAAAGTACTTTTAAAAAAAAAACCCATCCCCACTGCAAGTAGCTTAAAAAGAGTTTCTATGACACAAACCAGTTTCTAAAAAAATTTTATTAAATCTTCTTGTCCCTATTGGTGTAAAAGCTGTATCAGCCTGGGAACTTATTAGAATCATCATATTTCTCATACTTACATATACCTTGACCATTTCCAGTCAGCCTTGCTAGTGCTTGCATGATAATATTCATTTACAATGGTCAGCATGAAGTACAAAGTTTGTCTCTAGGGGTACTAAAAATGAATACGAGATAAAGTGTTCATCGTCATGGATTCTACTGTAGGCAAATGTTAATTATCTTGTAAAATAAACTTAGCACATGCTAAAGTTGGTGCTCATTATTTAACCATACGTGCTGCAGTCAGTGATGTGAAGAATGATTAGATAACAGTAAAATGTAGTGGTGAAAGCTCTGAATTCTTTAAAGATGGTCTAAAAGGGGGGGGGGGGAATTGGACTTGTGCCCTTTTTGCTTCTTTATGATGTATGAAGGCAAAGAGAGTGTGTTTTTTATATTGGAAATTCAGGTCATATCTGTCCTGAGAGACTCTATACTCTTCTCTTCACTGGCATTTGTTCCGAGAATTTTCCATTGTTGCTTCCACTGGTTCAGCAGCTCCATCGATGGGAATGCTAGCACTGACAATGTACTGGCAGCATCAGCATTTTAAGCACTGTCTGGCCTAGCCCTGCTCAGAGCAGGTCTACAAAATAAGGGCTTGTGTAGTCTAGGATAAAATGTGCATTTTTAAAATGTGTTAGCTAAACCATTTTAGCTAGCATGTTTTCAACCCTAGTATAGCTAGGGAAAGTTGTATCTGAATCTAGGGCTTATCTATACTTGCTTGTGTGTGCTAAAAATATATACAACTTGCCCAGCCCACACTAGGATTTTAAAACATGTTAACTAAAATATTTTGAAAGTGCACTTTTTCTCGTAGCCTAAACAAGAGCATATTGTATAGACCTGCTGTGAGCAGGATTAGGCAATGTAGTACATAAAATGATGGTAGCCAATTACATTCTCAGCAAATAGAGGATAAATAGGTACTTATATATTAAATTACTGTTTATTCAATTCCAAGACAAAGTACATTCACCTGCAAAAATCAAACATGTGTCCAATTTCTTTTAAATATTAACATTCGATAGACATGCTTGGTTTGTCAAATATGTGCAGAGATTTTACTTATTTTAATAATATCACCAGAAGCGTATCATGGGTACTATAAAGATTCTCACTCTGTAATATGGTAACACCCTGTGAAATAAGAAGATTGATGATTATATTGCGGTTTTACTATATTAATATTTCTCTAAACAAAATCTCACTGTGGTAACAATTATTGTTTTGTCTCTGATATTTACATGGCATGGATTTGTAAACCTTATAAAACTTCCTAAATAAATAGTTACCAAAAAAAAAAAAAAAAGGAAGAAAGCTGGTAGCTGCCTGGAGCCTTGCCTTTGCTAGCACTCCCACTGGTGGAGCTGAAACATTGGTAGGCAACATCTTCTGATCAGTGCTTAATTTGTAATGAAAGAGGTGCTGGAGCTCAAGCAATTTTTTTTACTTTTATAACTGATGTGGCAAGCCCAGAGGTGCCGGGGCTATGATTGACACGCCTAGAGGTGCTAGGGCTCAGCCCTGGCACAAATTAAGCACTGCTTCAGATTGTAGGAGGACAGAAATGAAATCACAAGAGTTGGAAAGTGAAGGTTTAACAATTAAGATGGGAAAGGATTTTTAGCCACACTTTCTAACTTAGTTTGTTTTGCTAAAGCCTATTCAACTTCAATGAATGGTAACACTGTATAGAAAACTAATCTTTGTCAAAGACTAAACAGTTAAGATGTGTGAAATCACAATGTACATGCTCCAAGACATCCAGTAGGTCCCTCCAGCAGAACTAGAGTTGACAATGACATTCTTGATATTTTTATGGTTAAAAAAAAACACGCAGATCTTTTTAAAAGCCACTTTCAGGCTCTCTTTAGACATAAAGCAGCAAAAAGGGACACAAGTCAATTTTGTTTAAAATCACTCATTGTTCATCTCTAAAGGTTTACTGTAGCAACAATGACCCAATAATGTTCAAAGGTGGTCCACAAAGGTAACACACCCAGGCCCAGCAATCTTACTAATAAATGCTGAAAACTCTCAGCATCCAGAACCTGCACATTGATTTTCTTCCTTCAAAGTTTTTAGGTGGCAAAGAAAGAATTGTACTGAATTCCCTTTCTTACCCTGACTACTTTATATTTCCAGGCCACCCTTAAGGCTTATCTTAACATTTTTATGTACAAAATAAGATCTCCAAAAACAGGAACCTCAAGATCTTGCCCATGAGAAATATGAAATCCCAAGTCTCCCAAGACAAAGTAGCTAAATTTACAAAACAAGTAGCAGCTGGTGACGGTGTGAGCTACCATACTAACTCAGTAAGGTTTCAGAATAACAGCCGTGTTAGTCTGTATTCGCAAAAAGAAAAGGAGTACTTGTGGCACCTTAGAGACTAACCAATTTATCTGAGCATTAGCTTTCGTGAGCTACAGCTCACTTCATCGGATGCATACTGTGGAAAGTGTAGAAGATCTTTTTATATACACACAAAGCATGAAAAAATATCTCCTCCCACCCCACTCTCCTGCTGGTAATAGCTTATCTAAAGGGATCACTCTCCTTACAATGTGGTCACTTTAGATAAGCTATTACCAGCAGGAGAGTGGGTTTGTGTGTGTGGGGGAGGGAGTGTGTGAGAAAACCTGGATTTGTGCTGGAAATGGCCCAACTTGATTATCATACACATTGTAAGGAGAGTGATCACTTTAGATAAGCTATTACCAGCAGGAGAGTGGGGTGGGAGGAGGTATTTTTTCATGCTTTGTGTGCCCATGACCCCAGTGCTCTGCTTTACCAGAATTCTTTGCACTGTTTCAGCCAAAATTTCAAATATGCTGTAATAGTTTTAAAGTTCACTACACCATAAACTGGATTAAATGTACACATTTGTCATTTAAATGATCCATTAAATATCTTGTTTACTGTAGCTATTTACATTGAGAATGTTATCTTCACAACAAGGGCTAGAAATGTTTAAGTGAGTCTAGACTCTGCAAAATTTTCTACAATTACTAGGAAATTCACCTGAGAGTCACAGCTCCTAGCTTAAGATCCACTATGTGTTAGAATGTTTTTGAAAGACATGGAGCATGACAAAGTGCAAGCCATCTGCGATTGAAACCACTATGTGTATGAATTATATTAGCATTGCTTTCTCAAAAAATGAAGAACTTGTGCCTGAAAATAACCCCTGTGCAAATGCATACAATAGTTCTAACTCTCTCTATATGGTGAGACACACTAGCACATACTAAATTATTGGTAAGCTAATCCCCTTCTCTGGGAGTATGTTTTTTAAAGTGTCTAGGATCTTTGTCAGCCTATTAACAAAAAAAAAAGGACTCAAGTTCCATCAGTACAGGCTCCCTATGTCCTTTATGAAAAGGTTAGACTGTCAAGTCTCATCAGTACATTTGTAATGTGTCTTTGAAAAACGTCTCATGTTTTGTCATGACTGGTAACAAAAGATTTCTACAACCCACACATACACACAATGTACAGTGTCATGTACTCACACGTACCATATTGTGTATGCACGCACACACACACACGCACACTATTAGCTTTTAAGAAAAAATATCTTAAAAGCTCCCACTCCTTAATTCTTGGTCTCATAACTCTTATAACCAAAAATACACCTCTTCTATTGCCCAAGTAGACAAGAGCTAATACAAGCAGGAAATAATGCACCTAACAAAGAGAAAGTGACCACACCAGCTTAGGGTCTGATCCAGTGTTAAGCTGCAGCTCAAGCTCCGAGACCATCCCACCTCACAGGACCCTAGAGCCCAGGCTCCAGTCCAAACACCACAATTAAACAACCCCTTAGCCCGAGCCCCACAAGGCAGAGTCAACTGGCACAGGCCAGTCACAAGGTATCTAACTGCAGTGTAGACATACCCACAGTTGTGAAGTCTCAGGAACTACATCTCCCGACATAGGCAATTCCTTACTGCCCTCAGAGACTATCAATATTTGTATTAAATTACTGCATCTAATTTGTATTTGTCCCCCAATATTTTCATAAGTTACCTGCATTTGATGTTATCTGCTCCTCCCTCATGTACTTTGCAGCCATGACACTAGTCAAGGAGAACATCAAGACTTTTGTTCTGTTATACTATATTGAGAAACTTCCATAGAGCCTCAAAGTTATTCCATATCCCTACATTTTGGGGTGTCACAAATCTAATATCCTGATCATC